GCAGGAAAAAGAGGTGATCAAAGCAGCAACATGAGGGAGAGAAAGAAACCACACGAGAGAAAGAAAGACACAAGAGAGGCCCCAAACTCAACAGCACCACCTGCAGCAAAGGTGATAAATCAGAAGATGCAGAATCAGAAAAAGAAGTAGAATAGCTTCAGTATCTGTATTTCGCACGTACGTCCTTCTGCTCTGCGGTGTATCGACTCTGCATGAGCAGAGAATGATTACAAATCCGGCGGAGACGAAATAATAAACTGCTCACGAAGCGTTTTCCTCCTACATCTGCAGATACACCCAAAGTATGCTGCACCTCGCAACCCTTAAACAAATAACGAGATGGCTCGGACTTGAGCAAAAAACGAAGTCGAGAAAAGAGAGAGACAGACGCGGACGGAAACATAAAAGGGAAAAGAAAGACAAACAGAAGCAGAAAAACACCCCAAAAATACAAATTCAATTACGGATAGATAAAAGAACAAATACAGAGGAAGTGAAAGCCAACAAACACAGGCTGTATCTATCTATCAAGCTGAGATAGAGAATAGAAAGACAGACAGAATCAAAGAATGTCATCTTTAGGCGTTTCTACATTTCCATATAAACGAAAAGCGAATTCATATTCGTTTTAATGCAGCAAATAAAAATAAACAAAGAATCACCAGAGCTTTCTTTCGTCTCCTTCGCGTCCTTCCCTGTTGCTTGAGGTCCTTCAGCGNAAACAAAGAATCACCAGAGCTTTCTTTCGTCTCCTTCGCGTCCTTCCCTGTTGCTTGAGGTCCTTCAGCGGCACCTGACCCCTTCCCGCCCCCACTGCTGCTGCTGTTGCTGCTGTTGCTGCCGTTGCTGCTGCTGCTGCTGTTGGTGTTGTTGCTTTTTGCACGTTCCTCTTCTGGTGCGAAAGCATGAGTGAGTCTCCTAAGAGAGAGAGCGAGGTCAGACTGGTGTCTGCTGACCTCCTCTAGATAGAGGGTTTTCTGTGTGCCGTCGAGCTCACAGCGAATGACTTTGTTTGTTTTTTGCGGCAGTTCTTGCATTACTTCATGCTTCAGACGCCTCAGAATAAAAGGAGATAACACACGCTGCAGACAAACCACGTCTGCAGGCAGCTCTACCCCGGAGGCCCCCTCAGGGCCCTTAAGGGCCCACGAGTCAAATGCACGGCTCAAGAAACCCCTCGACTCACATACACTGCTGCTATCTTTGCTGCTGCTCTCATTGCTGCTGCTATCCTTGCTGCTGCTGCTGCTGCTTTCACTGCTGCTGCTGCTGCTGTTGCTGCTTGTGCCGTTCGAGGAGCTGGTTGTAGAGTCCGTTTCTGCTGCGGTGGCACTAGGACAACGCTTGGGTTGCTCTTGCGGGTCTCCTCCGTCTTTCTGCTGCTGTTGCTGCGGTTCCTGCTGTTGCTGCTGTTGTTCTTGTTGCTGTTTCTGCTGTTCTTGTTGCTGTTGCCGTTGCTGCTGCTGCTGCT